GTTGGAGAGTTTGCTCAGCAGCACACTCCTTCTTAGGTAGGTTCCACTTTTTTCCAAAGCGCAGTTCACTCATCAAATACTCATTGAGGCCAGGCATGGTGGCTCACACCTGTAATCCCAGCACTTTGGGAGGCCAAGGCTGGTGGATCACTTGAGGTCAAGAGTTTGAGACTAGCCTGGCCAGCATGGTGAAACCCCGTCTCTACTAAAAATACAAAAATTAGCCAGGTGTGGTGGTGGGCACCTGTAAACCCAGCTACTGGGGAGGCTGAGGCATGAGAATCACTTGAAACCAGGAGGTGGAGGTTGCAGTGAGCCAAGATCGTGCCACGGCACTCCAGCCTGGACGACAGAGCAAGACTTAGTCTAAAAATAAATAAATCAATAAATAGAGGACAAATATTAGTCCTCATGGTAGAGTGCCAATAAAAACATTTTTTACTATTATTTCATAGAAATCTTTTGATTTTTGAATAATTTAAACATTTTTTGGTAAAGGAAATTCCTAGATACTTTTCATCTAGCCTCCCTAATTTTATCACTACATAGTGTTTTAACTCAGGCTTTTTCTATCTGTAATTAAATTTTTTGCTAACTCTGCATCTACAAAGTGAAGTTTAAATTTTTTTTTTTTTTTTTTGAGACGGAGTTGCACTCTGTCACCCAGGCTGGAGTGCAGTGGTGTGATCTCAGCTCACCGCAACCTCCACCTCCCTGGTTCAAGTAATTCTCTTGTCTCAGCTTCCTAAGTAGCTGGAATTACAGGCGCCCGCCACCACACCCAGCTAATTTTTGTTTTTTTAGTAGAGACGGGGTTTCACCATTTTAGCCAGGCTGGTTTTGAACACCTGACCTCAGGTGACCCACCCGCCTCAGCCTCCCAAAGTACTGGGATTACAGGCATGAGCCATTGCCCCCAGCTAAATTTTCTGTTTTATAAAGCGTACCCATCTTCTTTTTTCTTCCTAGGTTACTATAACAACAGTACCAAGGTGGCTGTGAAAACCCTGAAGCCGGGCACTATGTCTGTGCAAGCCTTCCTGGAAGAAGCCAACCTCATGAAGACTCTGCAGCATGATAAGCTTGTGAGGCTGTACGCTGTGGTCACCAGGGAGGAGCCCATTTACATTATCACCGAGTACATGGCCAAGGGTGAGTTCCTCTCACTGCCCAGAGCTTGCAAGGGCTTCAAACTCAAAAAGTAAAATGTGTAAGTGTTCAGAGTCACTCAAATAGTTTAATTATCAAACAGTATACACACTACTGAAAAATCAGGAAATATGGGAGGACAAAGCAGTTTATAAACCTAATCACCGGAAGTAATCCCATGTCACAGAATTGAAATCTAATCCCCCTGTTTTCTCTGTGTCTACCTGCATGTACCTATTGCCCCGAGAATAGTACCCCATATCTAGTCACCCCCAATGCATATTTATCAAATGAATTACTATGTATTTCAAAAAGGAATATTTTTTGTCATATGCTTAAAATGTGAGTTCCCAGAATTCTAATACTACAGATTTAGTACAGATTGTTCAGTACCAAATTCCTCTTTCTTTTGTTTTTTTTTGTTTTTGTTTTTGTTTTTGTTTTTTGGAGACGTCTCACACTGTTGCCCGGGCTTAAGTACAGTGGTACAATCTCTGCTTACTGCAACCTCTGCCTCCCAGGTTCAAGCAATTCTTCTGCCTCAACCTCCCTAGTAGCTAGGACTACAGGCACATGCTGCCATGCCCAGCTAATTTTTTGTATTTTTAGTGGAGATGGGGTTACGCCACGTTGGCCAGGCTGATCTCGAACTCCTGAGCTCAGGCAATCTGCCCGCCACGGCCTCCCAAAGTGCTAGGATTACAGGCATGAGCACCCAGCCTCTTTTTGCTCCTTAGCGTTATCTAATATTCATTTTCCTTTCCAGCATTATCTAAATGTTCAGGGTGTCACTTTTAAATATTAACGTTTTTTAAAACTTGCGGAGGTTAAAGTCCTGTGTAATCACAGAATTGCAGGAGAATAGACTTCAAGCAATCAATTTTTCTTCTACTGTGATCACCTTCATATAGAAGACTTCGAATCAACATCCTTCTTCCTGTGTTCCCCTCCAGTTCAGGAAACATACTAATAAACTGCCAAATTATTTTTTTAAAAGTCCTCAGAAGTAATGAAGAAACATAAGCAATGATCCAGGATTAACAATCATTTCATGCACAATGGAGATGATAGTATGATGTCATAGCTGAATAGATTCAAAAGATGGATATTATATTTTCTTATTTAATATCTGTGAGTATTTCAAAATATCAGTCACTCAGAGTCCTTCCAAACAAGGACATTGTTTGTTTGTTTTAAAGCAAACAAACCAATTAGCTCTTGTGGCTTGGGTTGCTATAGCTCAGAATTCAGGCTCAGAGCCGGACACCTAATAGGAGTTCAGTAAATATTGTTGAATTAATTAACTTAGTATATTCTTAATGATAGATGTTAATATGAGTTTTCCTATGTAACAATGCCTTTTTTATATATATATATATTTTGAGACAGAGTCTCTCTCTATCATCCAGGCTGGAGTGCAGTGACACTATCTCAGCTCACTGCAACCTCTGCCTCCCAGGTTCCAGCGATTCTCCTGCCTCAGCCTCCTGAGTAGCTGAGATTACAGGTGCTTGCAACCATGCCCAGCTAATTTTTGTATTTTTTAGTAGAGACAGGATTTCACCATGTTGGCCAGGCTGGTCTTGAACTCCTGACCTCAGGTGATCCACCTGCCTTGGCTTCCCAAAGTGCTGGGATTATAGGCGTGAGCCACCAAGCCTGGCCAACAATGCCTAATATTTACTGAGCACTTACTATATACCAGACTGCTCTTGGTGCTTTCTATGGGTGATCTCACTTAGTCTTTTCAGCAGCCTGAGGGCTAAGTACTATTGTTCTGTGTCATGGATGAGATTGCATAATGTTTACTGAGCATTTGCTACCTGCCAACCATCATGGTATGTGCTTTGGATGCAACATTTGATTCCAACCTCCCCAAAACGCTAATATAGCCTCTAGTACATGCCCATTTTACAGAGACCTAGATGAGGTAAACAACTTGACCAAGGCTACCCGTGAGGCTGGTACTTAAAGTTCCAGGGGAAAAACAGGTCTTGTTTTAGAGATGAAGCCGTGGAGGTTGGAGAGTTTGCTCAGCAGCACACTCCTTCTTAGGTAGGTTCCACTTTTTTCCAAAGCGCAGTTCACTCATCAAATACTCATTGAGGCCAGGCGTGGTGGCTCACACCTGTAATCCCAGCACTTTGGGAGGCCAAGGTGGGAGGATTGCTTGAGTCCAGGAATTTGAGACCAGCCTGGGCAACATGGTGAAATCCTATCTCTACAAAAAAATAAAAGAATTAGCTGGATGTGATGGCATGTACCCTCAGCTACATGGGAGGCTGAAAGTGGAAGGATTGCTTGAGCTTGGGAGGCTGATGCTACAGTGAGCTGTAATCATGCCACTGCACTCCAGCCTGGGTGGCAGAGTAAGACCCTGTCTCAAAAAACATTCATTGAGCACCTACAGTATGTGCCAAGTTCTGTGCTTTTTGCTGGATACAGATGGGAGTGAACCTGGCTAAGTGTCTGCAGAGGGTAGGCCTTCCAGTGAGCTCGCTAAAGACTGGGAGGCTGCAGTCAGTGGATCATGGTGGCAAGTACTCTGAAATGCATGGTTCTCAGACACCTGTAGTGAGAAAAGTGGTATCCACCCACATTCTCACCTGGAGCACATGCCATGTTTCACATCAGGTCAAAGGTAACAGATTAGAGGGGACTGGGTTTGACCAATGCCGGGAAAAGGCTTTATTTAACCATAGAGAATTGCAAAGCCAATCATATTGTGGGGGGTTCCCCTGTAATAATAATGATGATGTGAATTTTGTTTGGATTTTTTCTTGCGTGTTTGAACTGCACTAACTTGTTCTTTCTTTCTCCATAGGCAGTTTGCTGGATTTTCTGAAGAGCGATGAAGGTGGCAAAGTGCTGCTTCCAAAGCTCATTGACTTTTCTGCTCAGGTAACATATTCAGAAAGCCCCATGTGCATGTGCATGTGCATTTGCAAAGACTTCCCTGCGTCAAATTCATGAAGGAGTTATTGCTCCAGGGAGAAGAAATTTCTGTTGAATGTTTCCCAGCAGCAGTTATGAGAAAAAGACCTTCCATGGTACAATTCTTGGAGATAGTAATAGGAAATTCACATGGATTGTGTGCACGTGTTGAGTTTTGACCTGAATATCATCTTCTATAAGCCGAGTCAACCTCTTTATGTTCATTTCACAAATCACAGAAACAGTGCAGTTGAATCAATCGCTTTCTCAGCATTTGGGAGAGGCAGTTCCATACTATGTAAGCACCGCAGCTTTTAAATGATGCATACGTTTTATTTAAGTTACGAATAGAATGTATGCATACTTTTAAGTCTTCCGTATTCTTGAAAACAGAGGAACTATGTCCCTTTCCTGCTACACTTCTTCTCGCTCGTTCTCATTGGATGTGCCATCAGGATTCTGTGAAATATTCATTTGTACTATTTTTAGAACTAGTTTAGGAGTTGCCTGTTTATTTACTTTGGAATAACATGTTTCCTGAAGTGTATTTAAGAGCAGAAGCAGGTTATCCAGAAGCCCCGCCATGTGCCCAAAATATCAAGGAAATGTACACTTGAATGATGCCAGCTGCTGACTTTTACTACTTTCATTGTGTCCATTAGTCATGTTCAGTAATTTGCTTGCTTGTTTTTCAGTATTGGCAATGGGTGGTTTCTTGAAGCCCAGTGTATGTAGCAAGAGATTTATAGAAGTTCTAGGGAAGGCTGGTCCCTGTAGTTTTACTCCCACTTCTTCCCTCACACCCTCTTTTAGTTAGGAAATTGCTACAGCCTTCTTGGGAATGTGAGATCCAAGGAATGCATGAGTACAGAGGTGAAGCACCTCACATAAGGTAGGGCTGGACACAGGTTCTGTAATAGAGCATCATGGGCTAAGTTGGCATTCAGAACCTGGAGACTGGAGTTTGTGTCCTGGTTCTGCCACTCGATAGCCATACCGCTTCAATTTTGGAAGCCCTTTACCTATTTGGGCTACTTTATTCGCCTATAAAACAGAAAGGTCATTCCTACTGTAAGGAGATGTTGTTGAGGGTCACATCAAACACAGATGTTGTTGTGTCACATGCTTGGCACGGGCACAAGCACCTCAGAGCCTGCTGGTGGAAGCTGGGAAAACCCAAGGGAGGGCAGTGCCCGTCCTTCCAGTAAAGGTGTGTGATGGGTGAGTCACACTGCTCAGGCATCCTCTCCACCTCCGGGACTCGGCAAGCCTAACAGGTTCCTCATCTGAGTTAGAAATTCAAGTGTGCCCTGAAATGCCAACATCTAATAAGAAAGAAGCATAATTGCTGTGGTGGAACAGAGGGGTAAGGAAAGGACCCAGCAGCCCTCCCTTTTTAACCCTGTCCTCAAAGTCTATGCTGGCCCCTGGGATGCTCCATGGGATTCCAAGGTTTCCAGAACTATAGTTTGAAAACCACGTCTCTGCAGTAGGAGGAATAAGCGGGGTTGGGCACAGCTCTAGAACCTGTGTAGAAAACAGATCAGGAAATGGAGAAAGCAGAAGGTCTGATAAACTTGGGTCATACTTACACGGATCAATGAGGCCCTCTACTCAGGTGGTGATTTAGGTGTCCCCATGGGTCAAGAGACTTGAGGAGTGTAACAAAGGTTTGTCACGCTTGGACAGGGCTATGGAACATTGGGACACACGGCCTGGAGGGCCTGAGTGGTCACAGCCATTCCATCTGCTGGGGGTCTGATCTGTGCCCACAGTTCTTTAGGACAGAAATTACACACATTTGGGTACGTACTATACCCGGAGAATGACTTTATTTTGTCACATGGGTATTTTGTATTGGGTTTTGCATGGCTTATCTCATAAGACTTTATCTTGACATAGTCGAAACTTTTAAGGTTCAAGTCAAGGCCTCTATGCTGAGTCTCTAATTTAGTGAATTACTACCATTACCTCAAAGAGTAATTTTTCTAACCTAGAAATGAATAGGGGGAGAAGTTACTTTCTAGACCTTCGTAGCTTATGAGGAAGGTTACCACAGAGTCTGGCATTGACTATGACCATTGTGCTGTGGATTCCAGGGGCTTCCGTTGACTCTCCTGTCAACTCTGATGGGGCTGAGGCCCCTTGGTGATAGGAGGGGCTGGGGGCAATAAAGGCCAGCACCACTGGTCTCCACCCAAGCCAGTTTACCAAATCCAGCCCATGCCAGGTGAGCTCACGTTCACAGGTCTAGGGTCTCTTTCCTAGCAGTGGCCCCTTGGTGGAACCCATGGAACATCTGGCTCAAGTGCATGAACTGCTCAATGTCACTGGAAGAGTCACGGGTCAGCAGCAGCCGGCAGGACCCTAAGTGTGTTCGTTCAGCACAAAATTCATTTTCTTTACAACTAAGCACTGGCTCCTTTTGAGTTCATCTTTGCTCAAGCTGCAAACCTCACTCAGACTCTTTCCCAGCCCTTCCCTCAAGGTGGCGCTGGTGAGACCACCTGTTCTCCATCCTTAATCATTATCTGCTTCTTGTACCTGTGGCTTTTCTTATTATAATACAGATAATTTGAGAAGGGGGTCTTACCCTTGGCAACAAGGAGTAGGGCGTGTACGCTTCAGCTTCAGCCTGAAATCCCATACCTTCCACTTCCACTTTCAGCTCACTGCGCCTGCTCCCTTGTCCCCCGGGAATGCCCTCACTGATGACCACTGCTGCCCAGTGCTCCTCCTCCTCCTTCACACACCTTTCTGAAATGATCTGTCTGTGCCAAGAAGGCCATCTCTGCATTATCTTACCTTTCCTTCTCTATCATGTGCCACTAATTAACTCTATCACTTTTCCATAGTGAATATCATGACAAGAGTAAGTATTATTAAAGTTGCCCAAGGGTGACAGAGATAGCTGGTGCCCAGATACTTTGATAACCCAACCTTTTCTATACCTTACCCCCACTTTACTCTTTAGGGTGGGAATTTAGGGATAAAGCAGAAGAGGAATTACAGAAGTCCATTTGCTGTGTTAGCTCTAACTAAACAGTTAGTATGCTATGCGATAATGATGTGGCTTGCTGTCTTCCATAACCCTCGTCAATAGCATCAGAGTTGGGAAATTTAAGGTTCACAGGGGGTAGTTAAATTCAGCAGATTTTCACAATGAAAGATTGGTCATTGGGAGTAGAAATAACCCAGTTTACTTAATCCCAGCCCTAGATGAATAAGGGAAACTGTGAGGGGCAGAGTTGGGACTTTTCCCACCGTCTATATCTGGCCTCTTCTTCCCGCTCCCCACTACCCACTTCCCCATGCCCTACTCTCCCGTCCATATTCCCCTGTTGCCCATTGAGACAGGAAGTGGCTAGTGCACATGACAGTCTCACAGTTCGTGTGAGAGCTGATTTCATCACTTCCTGTCGCAGGATGAGTTCTGAAAGACTTGTCTGAGCCCAAGTGTAATAATCCACACTCTCCAACAATCCGTAGCCCATTCAACATAGATCAAGAAATCCTGACTAGAGCAGCTTTACCCATTGCTTTTCTCTTTGTATTAAATTAAGCAATTTAGTGCTTTTTGTGCTGAAATAGGAAAATACCTCTTTGCAAAGGAAGTTTGATACTTTCAGAGCAGAGAGACTTTGCATAATTCCCTTCCAGCTTTTAGGCCCCATGTCAGAGAAGAAAAAATGAGCTTGGAAAGACAAGGGGTTAAAACCAGTGGGGATTTCCTTCATCAGAAGCCGAGATGGAATCGTAGACTTGTCAAACTGAGAGGAAAAAGAAGTGAAAAATTTACAGTTGCAGTTTGGAGAGCAAATAAATCATCTTGTAATCCAGACCAAGTGAATCAAAGCATTTATTACTCTTTGGTGGCAGTATCTCAAGTGCAAAAATTACTAAAAATGAAACAATTGTTTGTGAGTTAAATGTCAGTAAAAACTGCAAAATCAAGCGAAGAAAAGTGGCATGCACCTATGGTCTCACCTACTTGGGAGGCTGAAACGGGAGGATTGCTTGAGGCCAGAAATTCAGGACCAGCCTGGACAACATGGCAAGAATCTACAAAACAAAACAAAACAAAAAAATTGCAAAATCAGAGTTGTTGTTATTATCATGGCAACAAGTAACATTTATTTTAGCTTCTTCTGGTTGATGCGACACTTATACCTCCATTATCTAATTTGAACCCAACAGCCTTGAAAACATATATTTTGTTGTTTAGTACCTCTTACAGATAATGAGGTGAACTTGGACTTGTCTGAGGTTACTGAGCTAGTATGCAGAATTGCTGGGACTTGATCCAGGGACTTCTGACTCAAGATAACTGATTCTTTCCTCTGCAGCCTGCTGTTGTCTCATGGTTACAGTTGCTGCTATGGTCATTTTGCACTCAACACTACTGTGATATGCATTTTCCCTGTTATGGATTTTGACCATCAAAATTAATATTTTCTTTAGATTTTTCCACCTCAAAAGTCTTTATTGCCAAGGTAGAGGTTATGCTCAAGGTATATTTTGCCCCCAGTATTAAATTTAAAGCCACATTTTAAAATGGAAATTGGTAAAATGAGGAAGGTAGGAAAACTCTGTCTAGGAAGTTTTCGACCTTTTTGAGTAGGAGGGCCTTTTAACAGCAGAGCTTTCTGAGCACATCCTCATAGTTGTAGCTACTGAGTGAGAAAACAGTGTATAGATTTGGAATCCCTTGTAATATCTCTTGGTTGAAACTTACCAGTATGTTGGTGGTAAATCAGGCTTGAAGGGTCTAGAGGGGCAAGTTTCTAGAATATTTGCCAATACCATCCAAAGTGAGTCTCTTCTTCTGTCTCTTTGTCTGGAACGTAAGAGATGTGTTAGATGCTCATATTCCACCTCAAGGCTATAATCTCAGTGAATCATCCGCTTTATCTTCAAAGCTTTTTTTAGTAATAACCTTTGATTGATAGTGTCCTTATGTTTACTTC